TGTACCCGTCCCCTAATTTTCAACATCGTATCACTGGATAGATTATATCGCATTATCTTAGTCCGTGATATTATGTATAAATGTATAATCAATAATCATTAATCAACGATATTCCGTCTTCTTTGTTTAATTTTTTATATTTATAGTACTTATAGTAAGGCTCTCTTATAGCTCTCTAGTAGTGACAGTAGTGGTCTCAAATTTCTATTTACCTACTCATTTATAAACGTATTCATTTAGAAATTCAGAATCTAAAAGTGATAATAAATCATTTTCAAAAAACTAATTTAATTTTAAACGCAAATCAAACTTTCATTATGAGCAAATCGGTTTGTATTTTTATACTTTATTTATACATAACTTGTGGTATATGAATATATTACTTGGTTAAAAGTTATTTAAGCTAAAATGCACTTAATCATCCTATGTAAATTTTTCAATTTTAATTTTTTGAACTTACTTTTGTTAACTATGAAGAACAGTAATGGTAACATAATTTGTCGGTCGGGCTTAGTTTTGGAATTAAAGCATTTGGAAGTTTTTGATTAACACTAATCATGCCTTTCACGATTTTTTTGATTTTCTTTCTTGAAACTTAATGTATTAATGAGTTAGAAATGACGGTGCAATCAGAATTTAGTTTTGAAATTGTGGTGATATAACATCATAACTACTTATTTTTGCACCTAAGTTGTTGTTATTTAGCCGCGTTCAATACACAGGGGTGAATAGTCAAAGGTTTCCATATATTTTTATATGTAATAAATAAAATGATTCTTTATTAAATAATGTTGTAATATTTTAATTTTCAGATTTATGATTCAGAAGATCAATTAGCAGGTAAATGATTTTTTTTTATACTTATTTAAGTAATATATTTGGCGGCTAGACATGGTAGTAATAGTGGCAGGTGAATAGCCATTGACTACTGTATTGTACATATGTTTCAACTTAAATATAGTATTTATGTAAGTAGGTTATAATGACTAGAATTAATAATTTCAATATTAATGATAGATCTAGAATTACCTATTTCATTTTTTTAAGAGTCGTAATGTAATATATTATTGGATGCTAGGACTAAATAGTTTTGAGTATTAATAGTTAGCATGACGTTTTCTAATTATCATTCAAAACACAGCTTTTTTTCATGGTATTAAAAGTTAAGTTTATTTTGTCATATTTTGTATGTTCAGGCAAAAAAATTGAATCTAAACAAATTCCACACTTCAAAGTATCACTACATCTTACTAATGATCTGTCATACGTTTAAAATCTAAAAAACATTTTACATTTTAAACTTGTATTTTGAATTTATCCAAATATATTTTATCAATTTTTAAGTTTTTTATTTTCAGTATTACAATATAAAAAAATATATACTAAAAAATTTAGCACAAGTGTCTGAATTATATAGAAAAAAAAAATTTAAATATTGAATACAACAAAAGTTATTTCATATGTCAGATCGTTGTGTATGTGCAATTTAAAATTTGAATTACTTTTAATAAAAGAACTTTGAATTTTATATCATTAAATGTATATTATAACTGCATTGTATGGTATGATATAAATTTGTATTACACCATACCTATTTTAATATACACATATTATACAAAGTTTAGTGTTTGTTAAATATATAAAATTATAAGTGTAATTCATATACATTTTTATCTTCTTTAGCTTTTATAATTTATTTAAGGGCAAGGGCTTATACACTTATTCTACTTTCTCATTATTTGTATACTTATGTTTATATAGTTAGATCTGGAATTTCTGCCTACCCTGCTTGCTTATATGTAGGTAGGTTTTTGTATCATCTGTACTCTTTACACTGGCCAATCTTCCCTAATCATCAAGTATATATTTTAAAGTGGGAATTTCTGAGATTTACAGTTTATACTAATCCCACATTTATTTTGTCTTATATCATACTAATATTATATTACAATTTTTTTTTAGAAATGGAAGAAGCATTTCAATTGTTTGATAATAGAGGTGACAATAAAATACACATATCACATATAGGTAATGCTCTTCGTGCATTAGGTCAAAATCCTACAGAGTCAGATGTAAAGAAGTTTACACAACAGCATAAAACTGGTATGATTTAGAAAATGTATATGATATAAATAAATATGTTGATACCATTAGTTAATTTATTATTGTTCTTTAAAGATGAACGCATTCCATTTGATGTATTTTTTCCTATTTATCAAGCTATATCTAAAAATCGTTCCTCAAATACTGCTGATGATTTTAATGAAGGTTTACGGCATTTCGACAAAGATGGAAATGGATATATATCATCTGCAGAATTACGCCACCTACTTACTACACTTGGTTAGTAAATAATTTAACTGTATTGTTTTTTGTTAATAGTCTAGTATTTGTACCTCTGCAGGAGAAAAACTTACTGATGAAGAAGTTGAACAGTTATTAGCTGGACAAGAAGATTCTTTAGGAAACATAAATTATGAGGAATTTGTGCGTTCTGTTACATCGGGTTAAATGGTTTATCATTTTTTACTATTTATATTTTTCTATTATTTAATTTAATGTTGTATTTAGGTAAAAATAATCATTAATCATTATAAACACATTTTAAATTCATACTTTTTTATTATTTTGTCACCAGTATACTAGGGAAATAGTAGCAATTATTTGTATGTATAGAATCTAATAAAATCATTTGATTTAAGTTTATTTTTGATATTTTTTATTGTTGGAAATTTAAATCAACAGCTGCATGCAACAACCTTTTTAATCTTCTTTTTTTTCTAGTACAAATAATTAATCAGTAATAATAATGTTCTGTTGTACATTTTTCCTTAAATAAAAAAAACAAAGCATACGCAATGTCTTAACAAATTAATTAATATGATTATTTCAGAGTTTATTTTTAAAATATCTGACTCAATTAAAGTTACATTTTAAAGCCAAACAATATACTTTTACTTTTAAATTATTTAGTAACCACTGAATCTAAATCATTTTGTTGGAATCTATTAGTATTCAATATATTTTGCAAGCGAGTTTTTATAATTTTTAAAGTTTTTATTTATGAAAGCCACCTAGTTTAAAAATAAATATTTTACCAAATGCAGCGTAAAAACCTCAAGCAATTAAATTTATGGCTGAAGTCAAAGGTATTCAAACTTTTTTATCCTGTGACTCCTTTGGTGTTCACTATATTTTGATGACTCTCAAATTATTATGAAGAAATTGAAATAAAACATGGATACAGTATGGCTATTAATATAACATATTAATGTTATATGAATGATAATATAATAACAATGACTTTAGTATTAGAAATAAAACTTCAAATGGTCGTGTCATAAGATGTGTTGTTTTCATTTCTTTAATGACTGCAAATAATATTTATAATAATTATTTAAGGCATAAGTATGATATTGGTTTTCGTTGCTTTCACGCGGCTCCCTATGCAAACTCGTGCAATGTCCCTGGCAGCCGCGATGCACAGTTTGAATACATCTGGTTTAAGTATTACGACCAGAGTTGAAAGAACCATAAACAGATAATTATAAATTATAAGCAAATGTAAATATGTAGCACTAAACTTTTAGTCATAAAGTATATATTTCATGACGTAGTAAACAGCATAGCTTTTACACGCAGAATTTTTTGCAAGAGTTTCGTCTGATTAAGGTTATAAAATAAGAATTATGGTTTGATTCTCCTCACACTAACTTTTTACATCAATAAAAGATATTCTTGAAGATGTATATTAATAAAATTAATTTTGACTTAACATAGTTGTCTCATTTAAATCTATTTTAGAATGTAAAAATAGCATCTATTAAACATCAAAAATGGATATTCTGATCTAGTAAGTGATTTACAGAATAATTTTTTTAGCATGCCCATCCTATTTTTATGGTTAAATTATGCATATACTAGAATTAAGATTTTCGGGATTTTCAAGTGTAAAAATCTATTTTCAAATCATTGACATTTTTTGTACCACTTCAGGATGATCCTGTGACAATAAAAACTTCAGTTTTTCAAATAGGAACCTCCCTTTTTTATTTTTTATTAATAAGCAGATATTTTTGTTGATAAGTTTGATGTATTTAATTCAAAATTCAACTAGTAGTTTCAAGCATAATATATATGGTAACGTGTTAAGTAGATAGGGGGGGGGAAGTTTGCAATTACTACTGATTCATAGTTTATTACAATTATTTGTAAAAATGATCCAAATACAATAAATACTACATCTAACATTACATTTACCTAGTTTTGATTTTTATGAAATAATTTTTAAGGATCATTATCTTTAGTGTCAACATTTTATTTAAGGAGATGTCACACCCGCATACGTTGTCTCCATCTTACAAACATACCTACGCCTAATAACCTCTGCTCCTTGGTATGTAAACAATAAAAACCTGTACATTGACCTTATTAATATTCAAACCCTTAACGACTTAGCTATATCCCATTACATAAAATTCCACTCAAAACTTCGAACTCATTCAAATCCACTAATTAAAAATCTAACCACTACCTCACTCATTCCTAGGATGTTAAAAAGAAAATGGCCAAGAGACCGGCTCAATGCATAAAAAAAAAATTAACTAACTAAAAACTAAAAAACAAAATTACATTTTTGGTCTGGTGGCACCATGGCACTACTGAGAGCCTTCATATTCATGTTATTTATGTCAAATTAGGCACATGCCTAATTTAAGTGTGGTTACATAACCACACTTACTCATTATACGTTAACCTTTGTTTGTATAGATTGTAAATATATTTTTTAAAAGAAAAAAATACTGAGGGAGAAAGTTCTTCCACGCAAGTGCATTTTATGTACTACGTTTGTAAGACAGAGACAACATAATATGCTGGTGTGACGTCCTCTTAACTCGAAAACTACTCATTAGAATTTTAATCTAGAAACATAATTATCAGTAGAAACGGAAATTCTCATCGGAAAAGTAGTCGTTGGCATAGGCGGCACTTGGTAGAAACTTATGTGGGTGCAAACACTGCAAACGTTTATGGTAATAACATTCACAAATCCATAGGGAAGTTGCCTCCCAGTACCCCCTAATATATAACTATTGCTACAACAAAATGTAGTTGGAAAAAAATGACTTTATTAATAACTATTAATTGGGTCTCTGTATTTCAAATATGTACATGAATATGTAAAAATATTATTAAAAAACAACTTTTTATTTTGACATAAACAATATGATCTATTTTGAACCATATCGCTATTTAGTGACAAATTAGCTTCCTGCATTATTTAATTTATATCATATTAATATTATTATTATTTTAACATGTAATCATTTCAGCCCGTAAAATTAATTGAATAATCAGATATAAAATATTGAAATGATCCATGGTCATTTTAGATTCTGAGCGGAGCGATGAATGTAGTGATTTTACCACGGTGTGTTTTTTGTGTCTGTTATCACGTTTTGGGGCAGTAAAAGTGCTTAGATTTTCAACTTCAGTACCTCGTTCGATCAGAAAGTGAATCTAGTTGGTACTTTGGGGGGTCAAAAGTGAAAAATTCTTAATACTTTTCTAAATAATCGAGAAAAACAAACTAAAAATTAAGGGAAAAACGGGAAATTTTTCGACAAAATCATTTTTGGTTTTTGATATAATTTTAAAACAAATGACCATAGATACATGAAATTTTCACCGAATGTTAATAAAAGTATATTCTATCTGCCATGCAATTTTCAAAAATTTTCGACTTAAATTGAACTATTCATAGGCATTTGAAATTTTCGATCATTAATTAATATTGATAAAAATTTATTTGTTAGGCAGAAAAACTTGAAAATTTAATACAAGGCTTCTAACACATTGTAACAATAGCAGTAAGAAAATATTAAAAAATACGTAGGCACGATTTTTTTAATAAGCATTTAAAGTTCAAATGTTGACTAAATACGTAAAAATTACGGCAATGTTCAAATTATCTTAGATAGAAATTCATAAAAGTTTTTATTTTTAATTCTAAGATTTGAAAATTTAATACAAGGCTCCTAACATTTTTTACAATAGCAGTTGAAAAATAAAAGAAATGCATAGTCACAATTTTTTTTTATAAGCATTCAAAGTTTGAATTTCGACAACATATTACGTAAAAATCAGGAAAATTTGTAAATTATTTTATGCTAGAAATTCATAAAAATTTTTCTTTTTATATCTAACATTTGAAAATTTAATACAAGATTCCTTAAAAATTTTTCAATCTTTATCACAAATAAAAAGTCCACCGGAAATTCAAATTACATTTTTATGAGCATTTGAAATTTAAATTTTTACAACATTGTCTATGTGTGCGTGCAAAATGATACTTTTGCCCCCCCCCCGATGCCGCCTATGGTCGATGGTATTGCCATGGGCCCGGGATACTCTTCAAGTAGTACAAAAAATATGAACATTTTCAAAATATGGTCTTTAATAANCAACTGCACCCTTATGCCCCCCCCTAGATGCCGCCTATGGTCGATGGTATTGCCATGGGCCCGGGATACTCTTCAAGTAGTACAAAAAATATGAACATTTTCAAAATATGGTCTTTAATAAGTCTACTTAAAAATTCTAAAAATCAGAATTTGAATAACTGTACTATTAAAGGGGGAAAAAAGCGGGTAAGTGGATGTTGCTTTGCTGTACATTAGGTGGTGAGGTGGACCTCTGACTAGGGTAGGTTAGATTTGAATGCAATGATAGATATCATTGTATACGAAAAACGTTACCTACGAACGGAGATGATTTGTCACTCTAGGATATATTATATTTAAATATTGTCATATATTCTATTTTGAAACAAATATTTTATTTCTTAATTTAGACGCATTTTGCATAAGTCTATTTCTATAAATGTCAATAAAATCATATGGCTAAATAATTATTTAGTCATGAATGAAATTGTATCCGTTGGTAAAAACGCTTCAACATTTAATACAAGACTCTTATACATATTGTCACATGGTATTATAAAAAATATTTAAAATTAAAATACATAGTTATAATATTTTTTAAATAAGCATTTAAGTTCGAATTTCGACAAATTACGTAAAAATTACGAAAATGTGCAAAATTATTTTGAATTAGAAAATCATAAGAATTAATATTTGAAAATTCAATTCCAGATTTTTCATAAGTATGTTCACTTTTATCAAATAATAAAAGGCTCCTAGAAAGTAAAATTACATTTTTGAGAATTTGAATTTGAATTTAATGCCAGCCTATGCTAGAGCAGCAATAATTTTCAGATCCATACTCCAATTCCACCCTTATTTACGTTGTAGGGCTCGGAAGTTGATGCATTTTGCGTTTTTTTTTTTGAACTTTTTAGACGATGCTCTCCTGGCTACAAATTTGTTTCATGTGAATCTGAATAACTAATTTTTATTTTTTGATGTTTATTACTTTTTAAGTCATTTTTTGACTTTATTAGGTCATTTTCCTAAATTTTTATTGATTTCACACTGGTTCATTTCTTATCGTTTCTTGTCGACCATTATGCCGATAACTTACAACTTGGAAATTACCACAGGGCACAGGCTAAGATCAATCCTATTCAATTTCATCTCGACGATTACATTTGTGAAGAAGTTTTTCAAGTGAGTGTTTTCCAGATGACTTAGTACATTTCAGATTTGCCCCAATCACTTAAGTGGACGTAAAGAGAAGTTTTTTTC